AGGAAGCCGGGGGAGGGGCTCTGCGGGGGGGGGGGGGGAGGAGCGGGGGAGTAAAAAAGAAAAAAAATCCTCATCTTCACATTGAGTGTTAAACTGGGTACTCTGAAGAGCTGCACGCACAGCTCAACTCCGGGGAATCCCTTCCTCCAGGAGTCAAAGATTGACCTTCTAGACCGCAAGGAGGATGTGAAGAAGAAGCTGAAGAAGGCTTTCTGCGAGCCAGGAAACGTGGAGAACAACGGTGTCCTCTCCTTCATCAAACATGTCCTCTTTCCTCTCAAGTCAGGTGAGGGGCTCCCCACACTTGGGCACTGCGGCTAGTCTTTCCTGAGGGTAAGAGGAGAGGAGGGGAGCGTGTGTTCCCCAGAGCAGGCTGCCCGCTGGGGGCCCCTTCCCCAGCCCACGCTGCAAGGCCTGGGCACAGGGCTCGGGACCCAGTGGCTTCCCAGTCCCTGCTGTGCTCCCCCTCAGCTCTTGGGCAAAGTGGGGTGGTTTATTTGGCTAGGTTCATCACCACTTGGCTTAATCTGAGCCTTAAAATCTCCATGTCACAGAGTTTGTGATTCTGCGAGAAGAAAAATGGGGAGGAAACAAAACCTACACTGCCTATGAGGCCCTGGAGAAGGACTTTGCTGAGCAGGTGAGTGCGGGGAGGGCCTGAATGCTCCGTCAGCTGCCATGGACATGGAAACTCTCCTGTCGTGGGTGTCTGTGAGGTTCCCCAGTGCTCTTGGGGAGGGCTCTGAGAGCAGTGGGAGATGGAAAACTGCATGGGAGAGAGACGAGGAGCAGAGTGTGGCCCAGCGGCTCTCAGGTGCCAGGCTGGTCTCAGCTGAGAGAGCCCAGAGCAGCCAGGCGGTGAGTGGATGGTGCAGGGCCGTGAGCTGTTCCCAGCGTGAGCAGAAGTATCCAGGAGAGGGCCCTTGTCCAAAGGGGAATCAGGCCAGGTGCTGGGGTTAATCTCCCAGCCCTGCCTGGTCTCCTGTTCCTACTCAGTTTCCAGGCGTTCGCTCTCCCCTCCTGGGAGATGGTGACCCTGGGCTGTGCTCATTGCAAGACTCTCAACCAGCCCCAAGTCAGCTGTGCCAGGTGTTTTCACAAGGGTTTGTCTCCTCTCCAGACAAAAGAGTCAGGCCTGCCCTTTGTAGCTGGCGCCCTTATCAAAGCTCCTAAGCTAACGTATCTCCTAACACCTTTGAGATGCCTGTATGTCTAACTGAGTCTAGGCACGGGAAACTTCATCTCGCTTCCAGGCGAGGTAGGATATCTTTCCAGAAGACGTGCTTTAATCTTGTTCTGGGAAGAATGCCAAGATCTGTGTCTGTTGGAGCCGAGACGAGAGATCACGGCACCTCTCTGGCCTTAGATCAGTGAATCACATTTTGCTTTTCCCCCTGCCCTGGAGGAAACCGTCCAGGAATCTGGCTTTTGTCACAATACAGGTCGTACATCCTGGAGACCTAAAGAACTCGGTGGAAGTGGCCCTGAACAAACTGCTTGACCCCATCAGAGAGAAATTCAACAACCCAGAGCTGAAGAAGCTAACCAATGCAGCATATCCTGACCCGTCCAAAGCCAGTAAGGAGGTGCTTGGGAGTTCAGGGAAATTGTGCCTTGGTCACACAGAGCTAGGCTGGGAGAAGATGCCTCCAGGGGCTGAGGTTAAAGAGAAATTCTGGAACTTGCATCTCCGGAGCAGCCCCAGAGAGTGTCTGGCATGGCTCTGTCTGCCTGTCCTTGGCTGGTGGCTGTCAGATTTGATTATGATTGAGCATTAGCAGGGGTGAGGATAGGCCAATGCAAGGGCTGCTTGCCTTCCCTGGAGAGGACAGATGCCAGCGTGCATCTCTGTTGCTGCCTGAGATGCCGGCAAAGTGGAGGAGGGACTGTCTGCTCTGTGTCACAGAGACAAGCCGAGAATTCAGCAGGGTCCAGATCCAGCATTTGGGGGTCCTTGTGGTCTCCCGGGGGCTTGGCTGGGGGCCGTGGTTTCTGCTGAGTGGCGCAACTGTTCCCTTTGCACTGCAGAGCCTGCAGAGAAGGGCACCAAGAACTCGGAGCCAGAAAACGTGGTCCCATCCCGGCTGGACATCCGTGTTGGCAAAGTGATCAGCGTGGAAAAGGTAGGGGCACGATGGGCAGTGAGAAGTAACCTTCCCACACGGTGGCGTAGGTACTTGGTGGATGCGTGGGGTTGCCCCCTTCCTCCCTGCTACCCCCAGTCCACTTCCCTGCTCACCTGCTGAGGGACCTTTGCTTCTGGTTGGCAGCACCCTGACGCCGACAGCCTGTACGTGGAGAAAATTGATGTGGGCGAGCCCGAGCCTCGCACCGTGGTCAGCGGCCTCGTGCAGTTTGTCCCCAAGGAGCAGCTGCAGGACAGGCTGGTGGTGCTGCTCTGCAACCTCAAGCCCCAGAAGATGAGGGGTGTGGAGTCGCAGGGCATGGTGCTGTGCGCTTCCAGGTGAGGGATGGGGCCAGGGTGCACTCCAGACCCCCAGCCCCAGATCCAGGAGGGTACAGGAGTACCCAGTGATCCCAGCCAAGTCCCCAGCTCTGGCTGTGCCAAGAGGTCGGTGGGTACTGCCTCGGGGTGACTCTGCTTCCTCCATTCCCCTCTACAGTGTGGGGGAGCCACGGCAGGGAGAGCGGGTGCCGCGCTGGGGAGCGCGTCTACGTGGAGGGCTACGAGGATGGGGAGCCTGATGACGAGCTCAAGCCAAAGAAGAAGGTCTTTGAGAAGCTGCAGGTGAGGGACTGCATGAGAGGCTGAGTCACGGCATGGAGCAGCAGGGGCTCTGGGAGTGGAGCAGGGCAGCAGTTGGGGCCAGGAAGGCCCTCGTGTGTCCCTAGCTCTGGGTGTCCCTAGTCTCACCACTCCCTGCTCAGGGCCGTGTTTGCCATCGTCAGTGTGGACTGCTGGCCCGGCCGGGCAGGGCCTCCCCTCCCGCTTGGGGAGGCCGAAGCTGGGGAGGAGATAATCCTCTCCAGCTCTGTGAGCCAAGGGAGGCGCGCTGCTTCCCCAGGTCTGACCCTCATCTACCTCCCCTCTGCTCCCCAGGCCGACTTCCACATCTCCCAGGACTGTGTTGCCCAGTGGAAGCAGAGGAACTTCCTGACCAAGCTGGGGAGCATCTCATGTAAAACCCTGAAGGGGGGGAGCATCAGCTAATAAGCATCAGAGCCACCGCTCATACCTCCTGCCTGGCTCCCTCTACCACTCCGGCCAGGCGCTCCTCCCTGGCCCGCTGCCATCTCTTCTCCCACAGCGTCCCGAGCAGGGGGCTCAGCCCGGAGGGACCCAGGGACTTGGGGACTGAATTTGCAGCCTCCCCACCCCTTGAAACAGCGTGAGGCCTCCTGGAGAGCTGTCTCCACCTTCCCCTCCACTCTGGGCCTGCTCTTGCCTGTGCCTTGGGCTGCTTCTGGGGACTCGTCGTGTCACCACGGCTAAGGGACCTGTGTAACGTGTGTGCCATGTCTGCAGGCTTCCCACCAGGGCCGTAGGCTTGCTCTCAGTTGTGCCACAGACTGGAAGCCCTGGCTGCTGGTCCTGTGTCAGGGACAGCACGATCGGGTGATGCAACGAGGGTTAAAAGGGAAGGCTGCTTGCTCAAACCTGTGTTGCTGCTAACAGGGCTGGGGGCAGCTGCCTGGCAGCCAGGCAGGCCCCATCCCCTCTGTCCGAGCGCCACCTGCTCCACACTTGCCCTGCCTGGGGCTGGGGGCAAGGCCACTGCTCGTGCTGCTCTTCGGCCAGGAGCCCAGGCCCTGCCAGCAGGACTGTCCAGCACCTGTGGGAGGCTGTGGGGTGTTGGCTCTGCATGGCCACAGGGGGCACGAGCCCTAAACACTGACTTGGGAACCATCTGTCTGTCATAAACCCAAATAAAGCGTCGATCTGACTGCACCTCGCTGCACCCTTCTATCTGTGCTCTTTGCAGCCCTCTCTGTTCCTGCATTTTAGTGCTGCTGGGAAAAGCCAAACACCAAGTGGGAGCCCTCTGCCTGCCCTGTGCAGACAGCAGCGCTGGGCGCTGGCCTACTCAGGGCTGTGCCTGCCCCAGAGCAAGTGCTGCCGGGGACCGCACTGGCCTCGCTCTCTGACCTGCCCCAGCAGCAGCTGCCGCCGCTGGCACTCATCAGCTTTACCAGCCAGGTACAGAGCTCTGAGCAGCTACTCGGCGGCAGAGGGTTGTTTGCTTGTTTTTTTTTTACAATCAAAGAAATCAAAATGTGACCCAAGTTTACAGAAACAGAAATCGAGGCTCCACCCCAGAGCCCAGGGCCTGACCACCAGCTCGCAGGGCAGCCAGGCTTGCCCTCCACCCAGTGCGGGCCCCCACACCGGGGGGACCCCCGG